CCCTTTCTTCCTTACTCCCACTTTCGCTGCCCACCGCTGTTCCTCGTGCAGTTTCGAGAACTGATGAAGCAATGCAAGAATACCAAGCTTAAAGTAGGGTTTGTCTACATCTAAGTCTTCCTTGTCCTTTCTAATCTATGGCGTTTCATCCATTGTGTTATCTACGTGCGCGTCATGAGTTCAGTTGATGCCATGACTACAAGACTAGTGATCCTACTTCAAATTCCCTATAAGACATTACGCTCGCGTTAAAGCGTGTGTGTGTGTGTGAGTGTGTTTGTGTGTGTGTGTGTCTGTGTGTTTGTGCGCGTGTGTGTGTTCATATGTGTATGACTGTGTGTGTATGTATGTGTGTGTGTTTGGGCGCATGTATGTGTGTGTGTGCGTGTGTACATAATATGCATGTGTGTTTGGATGTGTGCGTGCGTGCGTGTGTGTGTGTGTGTGTGTGTGTGTGTGTGTGTGTGTGTGTGTGTGTGTGTGTGTGTGTGTGTCTACGTTTTTTGTGTGCGAGTGTGTCTATGAGTTTTGAACCCTGAATCCCCCATGGCTACCCGATAAACGAAATCCATATTTCCAGCCGCGAGGTATGCGAAAGCTCCAGCAACAAGAGCGTACAGTGTATGTTTCCCCTTTCATCATTGGGTTTGTTTGCCTAATGAATATGTAGCGTAATGTGCTAACATAAATAAATAATTATTTGGAAATGGGCACTGGGAACGGCAGATCTCCAGCCTTCAACCCGTATGCTCGGGCTCCTTCAACAGAGAGGAAGACTCAATGCGGATCACCCAAGTCCTTGGGACCAGTAAATTGTTTTTATAATATTATTGTTTTTATTTGGTTGTCTCCCTTCCTTTTCACCGGTATTGTTTGATTCTTTCATAAAGAGCAGTGATGGTACCATTTCTTGATTATTTTTTTTCTTCAAACTCTCAAAAGGTTTTGACCGATATGCGTCTTACCCCGAAGTGTCAATAGGCCTAGATCTAGATCTATTCTGTATTAAACGATTCACTATGATGGATTCATGAATAAAACTGCCAAGCTGTTTCTGTACGACGTAGGCTGAGAATGGGTCACGTGACCATTATTATTTTGGAAACATGGCTGCGTACTTGGGGTGAAAACAGCAACGACTCAAGATAGTGAGTGTGCGCTATTCTCTACTTCTTTAGTAATTGCACATTTTGTTGGTGTTGTGTTTTCTATATTGATATGATAAATTCTTGCATGGATTCGGTAGTCTCTTGGAGTGAAATGTAAGGCAACACACATATATGTTGAATGTGCTTTGCATTGGTTGCAGTGGCCCACCCACCCACCGTCTTCCATGGGCTTCTGCTAGATGTAGAGTCTTGTGCCAACAACGAGCAGAATTCCAACAAGGCGTGGAATTATCATGTACCTGTATCCTCAGAACTTGACTATGACTCATTGCGCATTGCATGAGTCGGTCTGCACCGTTAGTGCTTAACGTCTGGTGGGATTTAAAGAGTAAAATAATTAGACAACAGTTTTACTGGAGTCTCTGTTATCTGTCTGAAGTTTATGTCTGAGCTAATCTAGATATCTAGATCTAGATTACTGAGAATAATTATTGGGAGTGTATACAGAACCGGTAACCGGGAACAAAGTCACAAAGTATACAGACCCGGTAGGGGAACTCTTTTGTGATTTCGGAGAGTTTCTGCGCCCTCTTGGCTCAGGGTAGACCTAGGTTCTTCTAGCTAGATCTGTGGCCTATGTCAATGTCTAGATCTCTAGATCTAGATCTAGATCTAGACAGACAGACATTATAAATCTTTAATCTAGTTTCGCGGCTAGGCTAAATCTAGATCTAGATCTAGATCTAGATCTAAATGAAGATTGCGGATGTCTTTTCGATGAATGATCGTTTTTCCTCCGTTTTGGAGTGGAGGAATCGCAAGTCGCAATTTGAAGAAAAGAACAATGTCATAATTTCAATCGAGCAGTCACCCTCTCTATTTATCTCTCTCTCTCTCTCTCTCTATCTCTCTCTCTCTCTCTCTCTCTCTCTCTCTCTCTCTCTCTCTCTCTCTCTCTCTCTGTCTCTCTCTCTCTCTCACACACACACACACACACTCACTAGATTTCTACCGGGTCTGAGAGCTGAAACTTCCCGAAATCACAAAAGAGTTCCCCTACCGGGTCTGTATACTTCGTGACTTTGTTCCTGGTTACCGGGTCTTTATACACTTCGATAATTATTGTGGTCATCCCTCTATATCTTGATCTAGATCTAGATCTAGATAGATCTAGATTTCTAGATCTGGATCTATACTAAATAATGAATACTGGCAACAATCTTCCAGAATGCACACTTTTATTCACATTTGCTGAATTATTACTTTTTCTGGCCAGAATCTAGCAAAAATTTGAATAAAATTAGGCTACTTTTATCATCTGAAGATTGCCATGACAAAAGCCACGCTTCACTCTATTTTGCTGTGGCTTCTTTTAGACTTTAGACAGTTCTTGTAAAGAAAAACACTGAACCAGCAGTGGAGCTCAAATTAGTCTAATCGAGGGGTGTCAATCTTTGGAAGTAAAAGTTCTATTCATTTGAAATAATTAGCCTAATAAGTACTTATATGTGAGGCGTGCTGACAAAATGATATACTTCTCACAATCCACAAATGGAGATATTGACCAAAAATCGACACTTGGGCCAAATTTCTAAGTTTGTTATTGATGCAATATTCATAAAGTAGTAAATGCCTTTTGCTATTTCATACTTACAAATTATACAAACTGTACCTCTAAGCATGATGTATCTATTTCCATAGAGCCCTAATCCGAGAAGTAACTCATTTAGTCAGCACACTCCACATATAGAGGCCTATATGTGTATCAGCAGCTCCCTGCTTTGCATTATAATTGCCTGTTATATTCCAATTGTAGGGAACCAATCTCTCTCACTGCATAAATGACTACTCGTAAATATAGTCTTGAACTGTAGCACCATTATAATATTATCAATAGATCAGATGTGATTCTTAATATTAGGTCCATAGTCAGCACAAAGAATATTTAAAGTGACGACCAGTTGTTTTTTTTACGATATGAAAAAATGATGTGGAAGACATAATGTCACCTCAGAACTGTCTTCAAAGTTCCTCTTTTTACTTAAGGAGGCCTACACTTTGGACAAAAGTGAAACACTTAAAATAAGGTTGGATTATATGTATAATCTGAAAACATGAAATGTGGCTGAAAGGGACAATGAATGGGTTGCCACTAATACTACTAATAGTTAGATAATGGATTTGATTACCCGAGCAAAATAAAAACTTCCTTAACACTTACATTTCTATCGGCGACTAAAGTCGCCAGGCCTAAGTATGCGCTCACTACCACTAGCGACTAAAGTTGCAGACGAGACTGGGTACACTAAACATAATTAAACAATGAACGAACACACTGCACTGAAGTAAATACCAAAGGAAGTCACATGATAACTGAATAGTTGATGAACCAGTAGGCCCATGGATTGTTAAAGCGTGTTTCTTGCTAGCAAGGTTTTTTTTAATTAAAAATTCTTCCAAGGCTTTTAGGGGGGGGGGGGGGGGGTAGTGTTTTACAGCGCTCGCAACTGCATAAGGTCAAATGAGCGCGCAGGTCACATTGAACATTTTCAGTTGGTAGGAATTTTGGGATTTTGCCCGGGTGGCAGCCGAAGCCTACTCTCTTATCGATTTTAGACCACCAAGAGGTCTTTAACGACGCTGGACCTCCGAGATTTTTCGCCTTTGTCAGAGAATTGCTAGGTGTAGATCTTTCCTACCAGAAGATCAGTGATATGGCATAATGGCTAAAAGAATAAGAAGGAGGCTAGGAGTAGCAGTAGAAAGGCTGCAGAAAGAGTCAGGAGCCCAGAGGAGGGGGCAAAGGAGGTGAGGGGATGAGGGCAGAAAGTGGATATAATATATGAAAGCAGACAACAGAACAGTGCTAGAGAGCAAGGAAGAAGGTGAAAGGAGACGATTTTAGAGAGAAAAAATGTTCCTTCGCTACCCAGATTCAAACCCTGGACATTTGAATGAGATGCAAACACCTTAACCTCTAGGCCACGAGAGCCCCCTTTTTCAAGGCTTCAAGCGTTCTAAACTGGTACAGTACTTCAGGGTTTTTCAAGCCTTCGATACTGTTAGTGTTAAAACTAAGGGTTTGTTTTGTCCGGTAGGTTTATTTTAAAAGTTTTTGCGTTCTGACTTTTCTTAAAAGGCCTTGGCACATATATAATTGTTTATTGTTTCAAAAAGCATTGTCATCCGTGCAGTACTCAGTTTGGATGAGCGCCCTTTTATAGATGTCATCGGTCTTGGAATCTCATGTCTTCCAGTTGTTGAGGCACAGAAGTGCTGATATTGCTCTATAAATATTTTTTTAGTGTATTGATAATAGTTTAAATACCAGTGCTTGCCAACCTGGGCGGTATTGCCAACTGGAGGGTGATTTTGGTAATTTTGTTGGGCAGTAGTGGAGGATCTGGGTTTAGACATTTATTGTTTAACATGTTGGTGGGCACTATGAAAATTTTAGCCTTTTAAAGGTGGCAAAAGTGGGCACTTGCTATGAAAAGGTTTATGAATTCTTTTCATTTATTCAAGAGATGAAAAAATGGAAACATTAGAAAGTTATAATGCTACTCAAAGTAAACAGAATGTGAATGTTTAGTTTTTGTTTGTTTTGTTTTATTCGTGATTTATTCACGAATGTTTATTTGCAGAATATTTGTTACTATGGGGACTAAAGAGGAAGCTTCTTTTGTTGCGAATGAAAGTAACTTCAGCCTTATCATGAAGTTAATAAATAAATCATTTTTTTCACATACAATCTCTCCTCAGGCAATACTGTCTGTTTCAGCTTTAAAGGATGTGAGACAAAGGACATTTGCATCATGGTTCCCTTTCATGAAAAGAACTGACAATGAGTCAGTCTCTGTCTCGTGGGCCTGGGAGAGGGCGTGGCTCCCTGAAGTCACGCTTGCCTCCCATTCACATGCTTGGGAAGCATACTCCAGTGGATGAAGATGAGCCCCCTGATGTTCCTATTCAGGTAGGACGCTGCGTCTGATCTGAATAGAAATCTTAATTTTAGTCTTGACACTGCCGGAGGAGAAAAAAATTGCCAGGTTACATCACACCTTTTTTATCTTTATGAATTTAAAGTTTAATCAAACCTGCTCGAAAGGCCAACAGTCTAAAACAATCACCTGTACAGATGATCATATTCTACTCCCCCATGCATTTTTTCCACATTATAATGACACTGTCCAAGATGTATATAACCCGCCTGTCTTTGACAACTACTTTTCTCCTCAACTATGGATGGCTCTCTTGGACTATTGTCACTCTTTTGACTGTCTTGTTGACACAGCTGTGTGTGTATGTAAAATTTGGCTCCTGAATTTTGTCAATCCAAATATTAACTATATTTGACAGTTATATGAAAAAGATATTTCTTGAAGGTTGAGGAAAATAGCAATTCAAAGTTATCATGTTTTGATCAATAGATTCAATACCCGCTGCTTATTGATTCTCTGTTAATACTATCATTTTTATCTGTTTCCGAGAAGGCCTACAATTGAACCTGTTTAAGATGAAATATCAAAGGAGCCAGAAAAAGATTCCATCTTAAATATATTAGAAACATGTACAGGGGAATTTAAAGGGAAGGTTTCTGAGATCCAGGATCAAAGGTCGCCTGTGCAGTTGACTATCAGTGGTCAAAAGTTCATACCTCCCAAATGTTATCCTAGCTATCCTAAGAATGGTATGCATCAGTCTACTAATCCATTGCAGACTGTGCTTGCATCTCATTGATTAACTCACTCAATCCTAGGCTTACATTTTCAGGTTGTCCACTCTCCCTAGAGATTCTTACCCCTTTTTGAAAAATTGAAAAAAATACTAAATTTTAACATATCGTACCCAAATTTGGTACACAGTTTATTCAAACCTTTGTTTGTGTATATTGAATATTGGAAAGCAAAATATGTCATAGTTTTTATGCAATACTCTGTGGAAAAGGTCTATATACACAGTCAAAAAGTAAGCAACTAGCAAAGAAAGGAAGTGCTTTAAAAATTCGCACCCCCCTCACATGGTTCACGAATATAGCTTTTTTTGTTCTAAATTTGGGCTTCTGGTCATAGTCTGTTCAAATGAAAAATGGTTACACTCTTCCAATTAGGCTATAGTCCACTTCACACTAAAGTAATGTTTTCGGTCACGAGAGCGAAATTTTTCATAGATCTACCGATTCTATGAGCGTTAGGGTTGGAGCATTGCGCGCGCATAGGCCTACTGATGTTATCAGCGTTAGGGCTGAGTGAGTTAAGACCACAATTTGACTGGTTAAAAGCAAAATCAACTGAACGTCTCCTTTGTTTCCATCCTTACCCTCACTCTTCATTCGATATATTGAACACAATCAAGCAATACCTGCCCTCCTTTGCTTGTAAGAAGGATTCAGGAAACATTTTAGTCATTAGACATACAATCAGGGCAGCAGGCAGTGATCATATTTCGCACCTGTAGTAATATGGAAAGTGTACATGCAGATGCACCGCTTCAGCACTTTTGAAGACAAATAGCCCTGAAATTTCACGTCCACACTACCCTGACGATCTGTACCACTCAGGGCTCTAATGGATGGGGTAACAGCTACCCCCATACCACACTCCTTCTTCCCTGCCTTACCTGATGGCGTGGCATGAAGTTTAGCTCCGATAGAACCAAATTTTTATTTTTTAAAATGAAAATAAGGGTTGATCGGGCAAAGTATTTTCTGTCTTCAACAAGTGAAAACCCTCAGAAGGGAAGAAATTTTTCTGTTCATTTCTGGGTTATAAAGGTTTCTATCTGAGACAAATGTATTATAGAGGAATTTTTTCAGTGGGCAGGGTGAGATTCTGTCATGACACGTTTCTGTTTTGGACAGGTTTTTGTCTATGGCAGGGCAGGTTGGACTTTTTTTGTGAGAATTTTTCTCTTTCTGGTGTTACTGTTGCCTACTTGTTTCAGCTTCCTAGTGATTATGGATGGTGAGATTTTTTTGACTGCCAACAATAAAAAATTTAGTTCTACAATATGGATGTTTTCTTTTTTGTTTCAGGCGTTCGGTTTTGATACTGATGGGGAAAATTCCTTTTCCTCTGCCTTCGAAACAACTTTCGATGCTACTGATGCTGACGATGCTGCAAAATTTTTGCGGAAAACTTTCAACATATTGCAGCCTGGACATCATGCTTGCAAAAGAGTACCTGAAATGGATGGTGGCTATTTTAACCATTGTCCCAGGTATTGTCATTAGTATTTGTCTTAGTAAAGTTATGATGTTATAAGTCATGAAGCATGTTCAGGAGGATAGTAAATAATTCATGGCAAGTTTAATTCAATATGAGATGTACATACCTGAATATAGCAACTGGTGTTGAATAATGTATTTCCGGTACAAGTTTTTTGTAGGGTTTTTTAATAGTCCTTAAGAGAAACATCATTTTTTTTAATATTTTCATTATAAAAGTTTATTGAATTTGTTGTATTAGTTTTTATTTTGTTAACTTTGATCATATGGAATCTTATCACCATTTCATGTATATTCAGTTACGTTATATTATTACGGTTATTTGAATATATACCAAGATATTTGTGCTATTGTGGGAAAGATATTTTATTTCTGTTATTTTATTTCTGTTGAACATCAGGGGTGTGCCTCTAGGACAGCAATATTCAAGACTCCGAAAATTAATGGAAGAGCGAGCCCAGTTGGAACTGCTCAAAGACTGTCTCTCCAGAGTAAGATCTGCGCAGGTTGGTGTCAGACAATAAGATTTTGTGCTAATTTTAATTTTTCTGATTTTAATCTTAATTAACTGTATGAGTACGTTGCGAGCACAGTGAAACTCTTACTTAACTAAAACTAACTGTGGACCAGTGTTTGTACGTCTTCTAAAGGCATTGATGTTTTGACCCTAAGAAACTGGAATATTATTTTTCATGCTTTTATCTTTTCCAAGATTGGTCAATTCATACAATTTCCTATTATACTTTCACCACTGTATATGATCATCATCATCATCCGGTGCCTTGCCGACTGGCGTGGGCGATCATGGACCTCCACTTCACTCTGTCTTGCGTTGCAGCAATGGTGTCTGTTGTTCTTGCTGCTCCTAGCCATGTTGTCATCTTGTCCAGTATCTTTTCCCTCTGTCTGCCTCTGCCTCTCTTTCCATCAAACTTGCCTGTTGTTACAATATTCTCCAATGCACAAGGCTAACCCACAAGGCAGTGGGGGCAGGTGACTGGTTTCGGCGCCTCCCTCTCGCCTGACAATCTCACTGTATATGATACATTTCTAAAAAGCTGTGATGTATTTGACACTATTGTATCTTTTTCACGGGTATGTGATTCTGTTTTGTAGACCTGTTGTCAACCTGAGCACTGGGAACTTTGTATGTTACGAGGGAAGGATATATTCAACAAGATGTTCAAATGTTCTTAGCCTAAAAAGCAAAACATCCGAAGAACTGACCTATGATATCTGTTCTTCGTATAGAAATGTCTTTGTACTCTTTTTCATCATTTGAAGCATCTTTTTATGATGTTACATTTCAGAAGTTGTAAATCTTTGCTTTCTTTCCTCCCCAGATGTTTGTGGAAGAACTTGAAGGTTTGGTACATATGGAGTGCCGTACAGTGTATGCCATCAGACATGGCTGTGGTCCATCAGAAACTCCAGTGACAAAACTGTACTGCTTGAATGCACTGTGTGAAGACCTGCGTCTTCATGTTGCACACTGGAACAGCATCAAGCAGAGGATGAACACCAATCGCTGGCTGCAGCCTCGTTTAGGGCAGCTCTGTCTCCAGCTTCAGTACATAATGCAAGTGCTGATGTCAGCTGTACTACGTGCTGTGTGGAACCTGGACCAGCTAATACACATTGGCTTTGAAGTGTTTGCACACTGCAATATGGAGACACTCACCCCAGAGATCATGTGGAATATCACACGAGGACTGGAAGATTTCAACGTTGTTGTCAACGGACTCAAGCTGAATTTCCAGCTGGAGAAATCTCATTCTTTTGCCTACTCCCCTTTCTCCTTTGTCCACAATGTACATCCCGCGCTTCTTAACTCGTCATTCAGAAAGCCATTGAGAGTCATACCTTTTACCAAAGTACTCAACATTCTGGCCAATGAGAAATCCCGCTATGCTGCCAAACTCACCCATCACTTTTTCACCGCGAATGAACACTTTGTACGTATGCTGAGCACAGGCACAATGCCTCCATTTGAGTGGGGTGACTATTTGCCTCACCAGCACCAGCCGCACTCACAAGCGATCCATAGCGACACTTCTGACTACCACACTTTTTCTGGTAGCAATGCAAGCCTCAATGCAACTTTCCTCCAAGTCGGCTCGGTCAGAGCCCCTGATTTGTCTAACCTGGGCTCTCCTCTCATAGAGTTTTCTCAGAAAGAACAAGAGTTTGCTGAAAATTTCCTTCTAATTGTTTGCAATTCAACGTCTTTGTTACGTAAAAATGAGCCCCAGAAGACTCATCGCTCTAGGCCTTCAAATAAAAACTCGGACTTGAAAACTCCCCTGAGCCCAGTGGTGGGAAGACCACCCCGGGTGCAATTCCAAGGTGAGACTCCTGTCATGACGCGCACAGATTCCCATCACCGTAAGACAGTGTCCTGGGGCGACAACGCTGACAACACAATTCGCAGTGCTGTGGTGGCGCACTACATGGACTCCCTCTGGACTCACCTAGGCTCGAACCTAGATCTTTTCTTGGATGAACCGGCATGGAGCAACAGGTCCTGTCTGCTCCAGTCAAAGATGGGATCTGTACTACTGTTCAACGACACTGTTACCGCTGTACTCAGGAATATCATTGAACATGTGTGTTACAAGGGTGAGTTGTTTATCATGGAATGCATAGTTGCCAGTAAACTTTTTTTGGTGCACAATACATATTTCTACAAGACCAAGAGCCTATATTTTTAGTTTTCAATCTGTTTATCTTGCTTTTCATTTGTAATGTTGTACAACTGTCAATGTATTAATTGCTTCTTGCTTGGTCATGAGTTGGATTCCATTTAGAAAAAGAAGTTTCGTAGAATGTATCCATCTTTATGCTGAAGTTTTTGTATTATACACAAATTTGATTGATCCTGGAAAGCAGTCATATCAACCGTCCCCCTTATTGATCTAAGTTGTGCCAAAGACATAATATATAGAATTTTGCCTTCAAATTTTCTCTTATAATTTATTCAGTAGGAGAGCTGTCATAAGAATTTGATCTGCCCTTGAGTTGTCCATTCTTTTAGAAAAAAACATTTTGACAAGAAAAGTGTGATAGCAATATCTTTGTGACATATTTGTCACCAGCTATTGACTAGATAAATCTATTGTTTATGTTTACTTGGAAAGAATTGTTTGTATCTATATTATGTATGGGTCATGTGTTTTTGTAGTTTTATGCATTGATTGATCCCTATACACTGCTGTGAACTTTAATTTTTTTCATTATTTCAGATTTATTTCCACCTACCTCTGTCCAGCCTCTGCTTGGTGTTGTCTTCCGGCTACATGCATTGTCAGCCTATGGGGCGTGGGATGCTTGTAAGTAGGATTTGCCCGCAATAGATATTATTTGAAATGTGCAAGCTCCAATTACAAAATCAACTGAAGAATACAGTCAACATTATTATGATGAAATCACTGACACTTTTGTGACTGAGTTAGAATTAGGGTTGTCAAAGAGTCATGAACCCCACAGTGCGGTGCTACTGACTGAAGTGTCTCTAGGCCATTCCCAAAGGGGGAACATTAACCATGTTCTTATGCACAGTAAAATTGTAATTGAAAGTGGGCTGATTCATCAGTGTCGTGCTCATAACTGTGCCTGAACTTCAACAGGGAACTGCTGCTTTTTCTTTCCTAATCCTTCCTATCGTCATTTTTCCTCTACTTCTTTTGTATGTTTGTCATACTCTTGTGACCCGCTCTTTCCTGGGTGCCTTGATAGTCGAAGCAGACTTTGTGCTGTTGAAGCTAGAGAGGTGAGCAGAGTAAGTCTGATTCCCTGTAAAGACTTCTCTGTTGACATCCACCCCTTGGCGCTCATATGACCTTATACAGTTGCGAGCGCTATAAAACCTCTACTAAAACAAACAACAAAGAGTCATGTTTACTGCAAATTTTGGGGTTTATTTGATAAGATTATATGCACGAGTCTTTTGAATGACAAATAGAAAAGATATAAAGTATATCATCAGCCACCTGTTGTAATGTCCTGAGCCGAAAATGCCAGCCCCAGAAAAAGGTCAATACCTTGGAGACCTATGCAATGTTTTTCTTGCATATGCTGAAAACTTGTACACATTTTTTGATAAAGACCAAGAGGCTGATCAGAATAATGAGAAAATATGTAATTTATTGCACTTTCTAGACTGGTCAAGAGGAAGCAGATAATTAGTGGAAGGGGATGGTTTAATATTGTGCTATTACACAACCTAAACTTGCTTAGTCATGGAAAAAATGGATCAAAGGAAAAGATACCAGTACACCACCTTATTTTGCTAGCACCCTCTAAGTTTACAGCTCCTTGTGGCTCAATTCGCACACACAACCAATATCTGCCCCAAAGCACCTGATGACATAAAAACCAGTGTTTGGTAGCTTGATAAATTTCATCGGCATTGAAAGGTAATTGAAACATGTGATAAGCCACATATGACATATCTTGTCAATAATAAAATAATACCTCTACATGAGGTGATTCATGGTGACCAACAGATAAAGACCTTACATTTGTATTGGTACCGGTTTCATCGTGCAGAGACAGTCGTAAAATGAAAGAAACATTTTGTCTCTCTCATGAAAAATAATACTCTCTGGACTTACAACATTTAAACAGATTGTGAGAGAAATCTTATTTTTATTGTTTTTCTTTTTGGAGCTTGATTTTGTCTCACTGGAAAGATATATGAAATCTAATTTATTATTGTATGCTGTGCCTTCCTAAATTTCAGTTTTGAGTACTAGCCTGGCCTCAGAGCCATCAGACAAGTGCCAGCCACGTCCCCTTAGTGGGGAGGCCTTCAGCACACGCACTGGTCAGTATCTACGTGACTTGTTCAAACCCTTGATGAGTATCCTGCAGGACATCTCCCAGTCACTGTCTAAGGATCAGGGTGAGAGTTCTTATCTTCTTGTCGGGATGCTTCTTTAAAAAAAGCTGGGGAAAAGGAAAGAAAAAGAAACAGACAGGAAATTCTATAACAAGTTATGTCCTTTTTTGTGGAGGGGATTCGGAGGGGAGTGGAGAATGGCAGGTTCTATCTTGTCGGAGTTGATTGTTTACGCTGTGAAGCTCGCTCATGATCAAAATGTTGTGGCTTTTAGTCTTGACTGAGCTGGGTTCAGTATCCATGGGAAAGACTCCGCTAATTTGTTGCCAGTCTTGAATTGATTTGGGGAAGGGGGGGGGGGGGGGGGGGGTGATGATGGAATGGAGTACAAAATGAGCATCAGATCCAGTGGGTGATCTTATGATCTTAAATAGTCTGTTTTTACTTCATATTATGGAAACATGTTCAATCAATGGGCCTTACAGATCTTAAAGAAACAACACTTTTTCCCTTTTTATTTTTTGTGAAGGCTTTGAGTATCTTTTTACTAGGATATAGAAACTCTTCGAGTCAATCTTATGCTGATACGACTGTGAACTTTACTTCATTTATATTAATGTCACATTTCGTCACTTTTTACATTACTTGCTGATTGTTACTTGTGGACTTCCATTCCTATAGGCATATTTTTGTTATAGCGATGTCACTTTAAACTCTTGTTGATATGTGAATTTGTTTCTTATTTGATAATATATGTTAAATTTACTTGAATCTCTGTCTTGTCTTTTGAGTTCATCCATTTGTAGTGCAGCAACTCATAATGCTCTTTCATGCATCCTTTCATCCTTTTCTGTTACTCATTTGCTTCCCAGTTGTCAAAATGCATTCTTTTTGTCTGTCACCCTTGTTTCATTCCACTATGCTTCTTGGTCTTACTTTCTCCACATTGCTATCTCTGAATGTTGTTTCATGGGATTTATTTATCAGAATTATTTGCCAAGATACAAGGGGTGATCTTCTTTTCTGATATTTCAATTCAATGCAGTTTGTTTTTGTGCAAACACAGAGGATGTTGTCCAGCGTGCCGACGTTGATCTGGGAGTGTATGCAGGGGTCACATGGAGAATGCTGACCACCTGCAGAGTAGCCCAGTCATGGTGCAGCACCAAAGTGCAACAGTCGCTGTCTTCTTGGAATGTGAACCAGTTCTTACTGCTTACCCACACTGATCTCAAAGTGAGTCGTCTCTTTTAGTACCGAGTGAAAGAAGTAGAATGGATGACAAAATTGATCAAGTGAACATGTTTAGGGTGGGCTGGGAATTCTAAATTTGTTTCCCCATAGTTTTCAATGTTGTTCTGTTACTTCTCATATTGTTTTAATGTGCGTCTTTATTTTATTTATACACAAACAGTTTCACCTTTGGAAAGAAAAATATGAAACTGTTTATATGCCACTTTTATTTATCTCAGTGAGGATATTTGTGTTACAAGGATAATCTTTACTTAAAACTATTCTATGGTTCTATCAACATCACATAATACACAATGTAACACCTGTTCAGAGGGGGTTCTCGTGGCTTAGAGGTTAAGGTGTTGGCCTCTCATTCAAAGGTCCCGGGTTCGAATCCAGGTAGCGAATTCACCTCCTTTCCTGCTCTCTAGCAATATTCTGTTGTCTGCTTTCGTCTCCTCTTTCTGCCCCCACTCCCTCACCTCCTTTGCCCCCTCCTCTGGGCTCCTGACTCTTTCTGCAGCCTTTCTACTGCTACTCCTTTACTCCTTTTTACAGCTGTCTTTCTGCCACACCCCTGATCTTCTGGTAGGAAAGATCTACACCTAGCTTTCTTGGACAAGGGCGAAAAATCTCGGAGGGCCCGTGTGCAAGTTGTGCACGTTAAAGATCCCTTGGTGGTCAAAAACTGATAAGAGTAGGCTTCGGCCGCCACCCGGGCAAAATTCAAAATTTCCTACCTACTAAAAGTATTAGGTGTGTCCCACGTGCCGTAAAACACTTACCAAAAAAAGAGGGGGAAAAAACGGTTCAGACAATTCTATTCATATGCCATTGTTGGGCACCTCTGAGCAGCATCCTGTCTTTTTTCATAGTTAATGTGTCTACCTGAAGGACACACCATAGAGACCATCCAGATGAAAATAATGTCATGGACAGTATTGGATTATTTTTTTTGTGAGCCTGAGCACACTTGTCACTGGACCATAAGAACCCCCCAGTAGAAAGGTTGGGAAATTAATTGTTTTTGTTTCCAAATCTGTAATGGAATTCTTGTTCTTGTTAAGATCAAATCATAATGAAGATGTGGAATTTTCACTGAGTATTGCTGTTTGTAATCATTCTTCCCATACTGTGACTGTTTCTTTTTTGTCTTCAGAAAAATAATGCATTCACGTCTTGTTCACAAAGACTTTTCTCTTACTCTCAGTCCTTCACTACTTATTTCCAGATCCTAGTTGACTCTACCAAGAATGCTTCCTACCTGCTGCAAAGTCTCAAGTTTAGCTCCGAGGGGCTGAGCTCGCGTGTTTGTGACAACCTGTCAGCCTGTCAGGTCACAGGCTTGCTGCAGCAGATCAGTCAAACTAACAGTCAGATGCAGGTGAGACTCTGAATGGATGGACCTGCAGTTCTGGAGTTACAATAAAATGAGACGAAGCTTCACTTTTTGTGTTTTTGTGTGTGTGTTTATCGGGGGGGGGGGGGGGGGTAAGAATTTACCAGGGTGGTGATATATGATGTAACCTACGCCTATTTGTATTGCATTTTTTGTTCATAGTAAATGCATGTACTTTGTTCTTAAATTTTTGTCTTAAATGAAGAAAAGTAATAATGCTGACAGGGTTTCTTATCTTTTTATTTTTTTTAATTGGTGGAGAAAAGTCTCCTTATCAAGATAGAAAACAATAGCAATTGTGATAAAATAAAGCATGCTGAAGAAAATGATTAATTATGTTTCATTTCTTAAAAGATTTTAAACAATACCCTCTCAGCCCCAGTTAGGAGAATTCTTTCAATATAAATGTCATAAGAAGTATATAGTTTGCATTCGAGTGAAACAAATTTCATTTTTAAAACGAGGAAATGAAAGATAAATAGTTCACTGGTCCATAAAATAATAGTCTGCAAACTTGCTACATATTGCAAACAAAATTCAAAGACCTTTTTACATTCTTTTTACATTAAATAGCACTGGCATGATAAAATAACCTTGTTGTATTTTTTTTTCCAGAGTCTGAGTGGAAGTACTACGAAGACCTTTGTCGACAAATACTCTGCCTATGTTACTGCCTTCTTCCAAGAAAACATGCTTCCTTCTCGAATGTGGAAAAGAAAGATACCCCCTGGTAATACAGAGAAAATTTTCTGCTTATATTATTATATATCTGAGGTTCAGACTGCACACTAAGTACTGTAACTGACTTTGTAGGGATAAACAATTCTCTGGGCTGCAAAGCTCAAATGTTCAAGTAATTATTGTTATTTGACTCAACACACGAGGGGCTGATATGCAAAGCCCGCTACATCCATTTTAGCACTTTGGAGAAAATCAGCTTTTTTAAATGCTGCTATACGCACGAACATGCTTAAAAAGATTTTTTGGTGGCTTTTATGAAGTATGTGTTGGATTTTGGGAAAAAGCATTTTGTGCATCTGATAGCCGATCTCGATTTTTTCCAAAATATCGCTTATCGGGTTTTGCGTCTGACCCCCTCATGTTTTGTGTAAATGTTTGGGTTTTTTTCAGGGAGAATTTCTGTTTTGGCATTCATTTGAATTGAAACGTGAAAGTAGGATGTCGGTTTCTGTAACTTAGAAACAACCAAGAAGATTATCACATATATTGAAATGAAACTGGGGTTGCAGCCCAGAAGAGAATTAATTTTATCCGTTCATATATATATATTCTGCTCCCAAAAGAAATGTATGTGTGGGTTTTGCCAAATCAAAGGGAAATTCAAAATTTCAAAATAAGTTAATTCAGAGTTGAAAATTATTTCCTGTTTATCTAAAGTTAGAAAAAATGTACACTTTGTTAATTTCTACCTTCATATTTCTCTTTCTCTAAAAACTGATGTTGGGTTCTTTCTGTACATGTCAAGGAAATGATTTTGTTGAAGACAAATACCAGATAATAAATATCTGAATTCAAGTTATTTTAGTTCAATCTGTTGGTTTTAAATTGAAAATCAAAAATGTCTTTATGAAATACTCATCTTTCCACGACGTAATATCCAGTGGAAAATCACAAGCGAACAGCAGCTGGGGGAGTAACAACAAAAACAAGGCAGTGAATTCACCAACATTTATATGCTGTATCTCAGATGACCAGGCTGAGGCCAACCAGTACACTGTGGACATTCTGGACAACCTGCTATCTCCTGTGGTGCGAGGCATCAACTACCTGTCTGCCGCCTCACAGATCAGCATCATCTCCATGGTGACGGTCAGCCTATGCAATGCTTGGATCGCCTGCATCCTCAAAGAAAAGATCAGGTTCAGGTACGGTTGGTTTTCTTCGTCAGCCCAGTGAATGGATTCTCTTTGTGGACTTGTCCACCAATTTCAAGCAAGAGATTTTGATGCATTGTCCACCAATAACACTATGTATACTTGACCCATTATTCTGTTTTGGGGGGAGGAGTGTTTGTAAAACGGGATATCACCTAGGAGGCGTTTATGACCTTGGTGTAAAATATCATCAATGTGTTAATTTAAAAAACTGAAACTCTTCATAGTATGACCATTTTCAACATGATATGCTTAATTAAGAGAGGATATCTCCAATTTTTTTTACTTTCTCCAATAGGATCAGGCAAATGAATAGTGAGCAATTAAAACTCTCAAAATGAATTGAGTGCGAAAGTACCTAGTTGGGAGTTCAAGTCATGGTCACTCATGGAGTAGTCCAGCTTTGACATACCTTTTTTCTTTGTAATAGTTTTTCTTCGTTTGACAATCTCATGACATTTGTACTTTCCAGCTTATGGGGTGCTGTTCAGCTAGGCATTGACTTCAGCCATGTACACACCAAGCTGGGGGCCATGCTGGAGAACGAGGAGGTGAGGCAGAGCATCACAGACCTAGCCATCTTCCAACAGATGAGGGGCATCGTCATCTTACTCAAGCGACAGCCCTCACAGAAACAGCCGGTCAAATTGATGGACTCTATAAGTAAGTTGTAGTTTGTATTCAAATCTTTTTTTTTCATTTTGTAAATTCAGTTGTACCATGAAACAAAATGAAACTTTAGCTCCTGTAAATATTTTTTTATTTTGTAGACCACAGGCATACATTACAAAGAACACATAGCAGGGTACTAAGTACTGGGATACAAAAAAAAAACAACAACAACTTGGCATGATAGTAAGAAGCTGAAGCATCTTTAAAAACTTTTTTGAGAAAAACAAAGAATATGGGAATTTGTGTATACAAAAATACGTCCTTTTCCTCGTAATTTTCCTACCTTGAAGACTTTCTTCTTTCATGAAAAGGTTGATCAGTTTTAAAAAACTTTTTTCCCTGTACTTTTCTTTTGTCACCACTGAGACTGATTGCTGTTCTAAGGCAAAGAAGTGGGTCATCTTTGTCAGGCGATAGGGGCACGGAGAAGAAATTTTGCAAGAAAAGTGACCCCACTTATCTCGGACTATCTCTGGCAACATTTTGGTTGCTAATTATGTTATTATCTGTCTAATGCAGAGGCTTAAATTTCCAAGTAGAGTCTGGTTTAAAAAATAAATTCTGGTTGTATCGAGAATAATTCCACTTTTCACAATAACCTACACTGTACCTGTAAGAGTGTTTGACTTCCCTGAACAATACTTTTTTTTAGATAACAATGATATTGAAGTTCATTTGTACTATGCTCATCCCAGTGTTTCTCAAGACCCGTCACAGTGTTTTCACGAGCAAACCGTGCTTGTGTCCTCTTACCTCTTCCTCCTACCTTTTTTATTTTCTTTTTCCTTCAGAAGTGCTTCCTTTGTATTTATTGTATCTTGTAAATTGCTATATAAAAGTATTTGTCTATGATACTCTTTCTGTTCTCTGGTAAATATTGCCCACCTTTTTTTTTTCTACACATTTTTGTAATGAACCTTTTGCCTGTATCACTGAACTTCCAGCTTCCTTTGTTCCTCATTAATTGCTCAGCATGTCATATCCTATCAGTTTAACTGCTTGTTGAAAATGAAAGCATCCACTCTCCATGCTTTATTGTTTAAAATACTAGGAACTCGGAGGAAATGTTACTTAATGCCTACCACAGATTTCCTCCATTTGACTACCTGGATGTTTTTTGTAACCCATTAAATCGAGTAATAATGTCTATCATTTGTTTTCAAGCCTGCATCCTTTGTTTGTTTTTTTCAGTTTTTCATTTTGCATGATTGAGTTATTGCTTTTCCATTCCCCCTTCCCCCCTTTCTGTATTCCAATTCTCCCCACCCTGTGTTCCTTCTTCTCCATTCCCCTCCCCCTCCCCGCTCCCCATTTTTTCCCCTCTCCTTGCCCCTCTCAGTGTGTGACACTGCTGCCTCTGTCCCCTCGCCAGAGCCTGGCTCTACAATCAACTCAACCACCAGCCCCTCTGTGGCAACGACAAGTGCAATAACATTGGGCAATGGGGCCCACAAGTCGCAGCGAGCGCTGAACCACCCTCAGCTGTCACAGGAGGAAGAGATAGATGTGGCCACGGTACCCAACATGCAGGAGTGGCTGGCCCTGAGGGCCATCGGTGGATCGAAGCAGTGGAAGTTTCCGGCTTGTTTTTCCAGAAGTTCCAGTGATGAATGATTGTTGGGTAGCGTGAGTTGAAGAAAAAAGTAGACTATGTGATCTGCACTATTTTTTTAATGTTTATGTTCAGTTAAAATGATAAAAAATACTGAGCATACATTCATTCTGCACTATTTATGTATTTGTGAGGTGTTTCGGACATTAGTGGAGAATTCTCCAAGGTGCTGAAAATCTGTCTTCTTTTGGGCCAAATAACGCGTGCACATGGGAGAGAAGATAGCTTGGGATGTTGGTCCTCAGCCTATTGCTCCAAAAGAGGAGTGTGATGAGGTATGGTATGAGGGGCAAAGGAATGCATCTTCTTTGTCCTTGAATATAAATGTATCGTAGGTTTTTCAGGCAACAGAGGACAGTCTTTACAGATTTTTTTTTTCTTATGAGGGAGGGGGGGGCTGATGGAACAATTTTCCTCTTGTGTCCGAAACTCCTCATATTCTAGTCTAAATGTGTTAATTGAACAAATGTGGCAAAGAACAAAAAATGTGTTACACTACACAGATATTTAATTTACTTTCATCTTAATAAATCCCCAAGTCTATGACTTGTCAGTAAGTTGTTATGGATCTGAACTGATAATGAATTCCTTTTCTGTTTTCATACCTGGATTCAAACAGGTGACTAAAATCCATGCTTATTGTTAGTGGTGTGATGAGCAATAATTGAATTTCCTGGAATTTACGTGTCTGTCAAAAATTACGCATATTCACTTGACTTTTTGTCTTTGATTGAAGTATGATGTTGACACAGGCAAATTATCCTCTTTTAACCGTAGTGCCCCTGAATATTGTAACTGGTTAGGAATTATCGAGTGGTTTGGTTTTAGCCTTGCATGTATGCGTGTATACTCCCTTGTTGTCTTGCGAGTCCTGTACCAATATCTGTGAATCACCAGATGGGCCTTTGTGTGGGATTAGCTTACTCTTACACTGAGCAAACTGATAAGGCTGTGATTAGTTGCATTTTGTAATTCCAATTATATGCACTGTTGGAACCTCTGTGCTGGAATCACGGATTCCATCACAATACCATCTTATACCATATCTCCCTGTAGTGATGATACTAATATTTTAATATTTATTACCTATGTCATGTTTGGGGGTTTTGGTGAGAGTGGGGGGGAGGGTGTTGTTGTAATTTTTTCTTTTCCCTCCATTAGCAACCCCTTACTGCAGTTAATGCAGTTTCCAATTGCTGATCTGTTGTTTTAGCTTGCTTTGAAATTTTTTGACAAGTGTTGATTTTATTACATTTGTGATTGCTGACTCTCTTAAATTGGATCTGATCGGTATAAACGTTGTACTTCTTTATATTTTATTTGATCTCATTTATTTGTACATTCAGTTTACAAGTTTTCAAAAGAATGTTTTTAGTTGTTAATTTTATTCTTAAGGAGAGACACTTCTGAGACAACAGGTCTCTTTAATGGATAGTTGACACTTCTAAGATAGCCTTATAGATTCTTCAAAACTTCAATCCCATTTGGTTGCTGCACAGGGGCAACTGAGGTCTGAGACCTGCAAAATAAGATAATGATCATGTTTATCAAATTGCTTTAACCGTTAGCATAATATCATGCAAAATTGCTGTGAGTATTCCTAACAACGTATACTAGCCAACCACGTATGGATTTTTAATCATTTTAGTTACTTAAGTTTTGTCAGGTACATGAGTTGAAAAATTTATTACCACGAAATATCCTGTTCCATTTTTTAAAAAGTATTCTTGATAAAAACCGCTCACAAGCACAATTTTTATTCTCTAGACAAATCTTTATCACATTATGAACACCAAGCCTGTAATAAGGGGCTTGCAAAGTTTTAAAGAAATGAAAAAAAAGTATTTGAAAAACTATTATGGTGACCCCACCCTCTAAAACTTTTTCAATTTGAGAAAATCGAAAAAAACACGTTTTTTATGGCTTGTAGCGTTTTTAGGTTGCAAATATCAGTATTGAATACATTGGCAAGGGAAAATTTTGTATCAGTGTTCAGAAAATAACAACCCTTTGCCCTTTCAACCTATTTCAACCCTTTATTTTTCCTGCTTTTCTTTTTTTTTCATTGGTAGGTTTGGGACTTGGACCAATGTGTTCAGGATATATTTTTCTGTTTACAGATGATTGACACATGTATTTTACCACCAACTCAACCTCTCTTACGTGAATGGAAAGCCGTGTCTCCTCTTAAATTATGTATTTTCTGTGTGAAATATATGAAGCTCTGTTTCCGTTAAAATGGCTGAGAGGCTGGCAAAGGTTTCCTCTTTTCTCTGATCTAGAGATACTGATTAAGACTGACACTGCATCTTATTCTGATTGTGAAATGATTTTTTTAAAACAAGCAGCAATTTTTAAGTTTACATCGCTTACAATGCCAGGTACTTTTCTTTGTAATGGTTATAACTTATTATTTGCTTTCTTTTACTTTTCATGACAGAGTGGTATGGATTTTGACATTTTTGCTTTCAGTGTTGATCAGGAGTCAGTGTTGGTTCAAATAGATATGAATATATGAGTATGCTTGTTGAAAATTTTATTTACTGTTGCGACTGAAGCTGTCGCTTTTGGCTCCCTTAGTATTAGGGGTAAGAGTAATTAGAAACCAGTTAACTCAATGTTTTTCTCACATAGGTTTTATTATGAGATATATTTTTTTATTGAATGTCTAAAGCCTGTTGAGGTCGATATGTATGTTCTTCGAACTGCACATGTTCTTTATTGACTGTTGTTACTCTGCTTTATGCAGTCTAATATTATTTAATGTATTTATCATAATACTTTGAATGCTAGAATACTCGTAAATGAAAGAGAGCTTCCCAGCACTTTTTAGAGAATTTGGCACCTCCTTGAACTTTCATATTTACATGATACCACTGTCAAAAGAATGTGTCTATGTGCGTGTGTGTATGATGTGTGTATACCACACACACTCACGCACACACACACACACACACACACACACATATATATATATATATATATATATATATATATATATATATATATATATATATATACACACATACACAAACATGCATCCAAATATACAAACATATATTCAGACATACATACCAGGTGTCTAAAAAAACAAAGAGGACCAGAGGACCCAATAATTCTGTTATCTTTGCACCAATTTCATCAACATTTGAAACAAATATAAAGAAATTCAACCAAGAGGACCTCAAAATTGTGAATATGAAAAAAATTCAACTTGAAAAGTTCACTCGAAAAGACAAGATGTGGTGGAACCCCAGCTGATACATTGCCTATATTCTCATTTGCCAATGTAACAACATACCCACACCTTGCACTATGACTTGTGCACAAGAGCGTGTGTGTTCAAACGTGTATATGAGTATGTGTTTGTGAGTGTGTGTGTAAGAGAGAGAGAGAGGGGGGGGGGGGGGGGAATGGGTGAGGTGGGTGCAGATTAGCCCCTTTAGAAAATTCAGTGAACACAAACCTCCATCTTAGATCGACCAAGGCTTGCTTCCCTGGGATGTTGCTGTTGTTAGGCAGACACCACTGTATTTTAGCTTGTCTGGAGAGGAATGGTCAGCACTTAAAGCATTAAATTTAAATAACCGTCACTTTCCCTGAGTTTATTTGGCAATGTCAGTTTCAAATAAACCATTTCTTTAATGCACAAATACATGTTAACGTTTGATTTTTAAGAAGTTGTTAAGTTTTGCATGTCACTCAAATCTTTTTTTTTTTTTTTAATTTAACTTGATATGTCTTTAACACGAAAGTTGATTTTCTTAATTTTGCTAAATTCGCCACCTTCTTGGTTAAATATTATTTGCTCAAATTTGGTTGAAATTGGTGCAAAGATGACTGAGTTATTGCCCTTTAAATGGTTCCTTTTCGTTTTAGACACCCTGCATGCACCTACATGCGATCATAGGTACATATGTGTTACAACATGGTGGAATCAGGCGCTTGTCAGTTTTTTTGGTAAATATACCCTTATATCTTGAACAGAAGTCAAGATATTTTGTATTGAAGCAGGTGGGGGTCTCTGGTTTCAGAGCTAAAATTAGCAAGAAAATGGCTAGGAAAGTTTAGTGACTTACAAAGCCTTAATGTCTGGAAACTGCAAATTTAGATCTTTTTTTTGTACCAATAAACAACGGTCGTATTTTTAAAAATAAAATCCAGATAGAATTGTGTTTTTGAATGGACATTTTTTTAAACCATTATAAAAATTACCAATTGGGTACGAAAACGTTGGTTACTTTTGATTTCATTATTTTAATAAGCGCCTGATTTCACCACGATACCACACATATGTCTATGAAATGTATGTTTCACAATTCCTGAATTTTTCAATAACAATGTAGTTATGAGTGCACGTTTCTTTATATTATGATGAATATCAGTGGATTTGATTACAATGACACCAATTTTGTTTTTGGTATACTCTGAGACTTCCTCACTACTTGTGTGTATGTATGCACAAATGGCATAATAATTTTGCCATAAGAGTCATTTGTCATTACTTTTATCTCTCCTTTAAATGCAATTAATAGTTTACATTGATTGTATTTACCAAACACATTTTAACAATTCTTAAACGTTCTATTTTGTATTAATTTCTTACAACCCTACTAAAACTGAGAACACAGCTAAGGCTTATTTTATGTTTGCAGCTTGGCAGAATATTCTGTCTATTTATTCACTTTTGTTTTGATTCAGTGCCCTTTCCAGTAGCTATTTTCAACTTAATCAAGAAGAACAAAGAAACATGTTAAATTCTTGATAGGGCTTTACTATGATTTAAGATGTTTTCCATTGTGCTAAGACCAGGATACAATGGTATTCATAGGAACAAAACTATAATGAAGTTGTAAACAAGATGTTGTTTACTAACCAGGAGCTCAGGAAAGTAGAACAAAAGCTATGTGCTCCTCTATCCAGGTTAAAGTCACCGTCCAATCTAAGTCAAGGAGAATCAGGGAGTCCCTTATGTGTTGGAACTCTCTATGCCTGTACTATGACAAGTGTTTTTATTCAGTAAATAGTAGGTATTGCTGTGGGCTTATATACGCCCTGTTTTACACATTAGCTAAAGGGATGCTTGTTCAGTAGTAAAGTCCAAGCATAAAGTGGGGTGTATAAATGACAACCAAGAAGTACACAAACAAGAATAGCAATCCTCCCTTGGAAAGAAATGGATGCTGGTTTTCCATTTGATTTTCATTTGCCATGCTGCTCTGTTCACATCAAAATTGTAGTATCCTTTGGTTTCAACACCTTTGCTTAGTTTTGACTCATTTCTTACCGTAATGTGAGATTATTGGTAACCCATTTCCCGAAACTTATGTTGAGATATTGATCTGTGTTTGTTTGACATCTGTGATTTTGAAACCCCAGTTGTTCGGAATGACCCTTTTCATTGTCTCCAGGTCTGTCGCCCAGACCTTTACCATGAGCAACGTTGAGGGTTACTTCTGTGTATTCTCTGCTGATTTCTTATTCTCCTTTCATTCCCACTGCAATTGTGCATTGCATGATGGTCCTACTTTTTTAAGTCCTGTCCTCACGTTTCTAAATCACATGTACTAAAATTGAAGACTTTGTCTGGAGGCTGTGTTTGACAGCGCACAGTACCATTCCTGCTCCAGCCCTCACCCGTAGACTTTTATCATACTTCAGTCCAGTATCTCTAAGCTCAACCTCATTGCACAAGCCACAATAGGTGTCACCACACAATGCTCACATTCCATCTTCCTCCCTTCGACTGGACGGCTCTCAAGCTATTCTCTTCATTTGATTGAGGTCAATCAGAAAAAAAACCTTTTCCAAGAAAGACTCACTCCTTTTTCCTCTGTCGTCACACCAACGTGTATTTTTTTTAATGGCGAAGGGTTATTCGACTATATTACAAAGGTTTGCACATCAATTCTACAGGAAATGAATATGTAGTTGGATCATAGGTTATCACATTTATTATCAAAACACTGGCACATCGTTCTAGTGTTTCACCTCACACACACACCCGCACACACAAACCCGCACACACACACACACACACACACACACACACACACCCATCCTCTGTTTCACACACATATACAACTCTAATAAACTGATTATAATGGCTTTAGAAAATGTTGCTTGACAAGTTGTGTTATCGTATTACACCTTGTAGAGAAACACTCATGGGGGGGGGTCTGCTGACAAAAAAAAACAGTTCAGGGCAAATGTCATGCACAAAAGAATCAGTCATCCGTGATTGTTGTTTGGAAAGACGTCATATTTAGAGTCCTTCAAAATGACCTCTTTTTTTTGCTGCTGCAGTGGGCTTATTTTGGAGCATGAGAGCATTATGGAATAAAACATTTTTACTTGGCCTTGCAAGCCCGAACATTTCAGAAACCTTGACGGATTTAACCTACAGAAAAGGAAATAAAATTTCCATAATTTCAATAGAAAAATTAAAATAAGGGCACCTGTCGTGGGGCACTTTGCCATTATGGGTAGGGTCATGCTGCACCGAGTAGAAGAACCGTTTTTAAAAATTAGTTCGTATGCATTGATGTTTGCCCACAAACATGTCAAAACATGTCAATTTATTTGTTTGTCATTTGAGCAGAAATCTAACACGGACTCACCCGCAGAATTTTGTTTTCATGAGCAGTTTCCTATTTTTTTTAGTCAATTAAACTAATTTTTTGGTCTCTGCTCTGGTCATGAATCTAGTCTATCTCAAATAAAAACTTAAGAAACTCCATTAGCTTCATCAGGTGGCCTTGTTAGAACAATTTTACAACTGAAAAATGGATGAAAGATATGAGATTGAATTTAAGTGTTTAAATTCAATTTTTAAAAAACT